GACACAATTTTTTATAAAATTTATTGAAAGCTTTATTAAGGTAGAGTTCCAGAATATGTTCCAAAGAGATTCCTGATTTCTAAGCAATAGAAATGTGAAAACTAAGAGTTAATGAGAATATTCTTACCAAAAATCAACGTAACATGGCATATGATATTGGCACGGCTCAATCAAACTAAACAATCCAAATCTTTTTGGGAAATTTGGTTTGATTGAGCTGTTCCAACATCATCATTAGCCAGTCACCGATACACGGAAAAAAAGAAAGAAAGAAAGAAAATTTACCTCAAACACGTCATCATAAAGAAATCATAATAACAAAAATATTGACGCTCTCTTCGTTTTGTGATTTACCTTCTTTGAATTTCCAGAAGAACCAAAGAGAAACAGAAGAAAAGATAGAGAGAGAACAAGATAGAAAGTATTGTTGTTGAAAAATTCAAGTCATTGAAATAGGAATTTATATTAAAAAGTTTAGCAATTAGGTATTCTCTAAGCATGTAGTGGTTGATGACATTTACACATTGACAAAAGTTTATGTCCCTTTCTCTAAAATTTCAATTTCTTGAATGAACCTTTCTTGACAGCTTGAAAACCTGATTTTGATACGTAAATTATGATCATCTTTTCATCATCATTATGTCATGGACTAAACAAAAATTACAAATAAATAAATAAATAATGGGTAAGAAGTTAAATGGTAATCGAACTTTTAACGGCACTTCTTATAGGTATTCAAACTTTCGAGTTTCTCAAATTCATATTCCAACTTTCAAATATGTTTACAATCCATACCTAACTTAACGAGCTGTTGACAAATCTAACGGTTCTGTCATACATAGCAATTGACGGTGTTAAATCCTTCAGCAACATATGTTAATTTATCCCAAACTCTACAAATCACGCTTTTTTAGTTATTCAAATGAATTTGATTTTATATTTCTCTTGCCGTTTTATTGATTTATGATTTTGATTGCTTGTCACGAGGATCAAATCGCTAGAGTTGTCAACGGTTGGTTAAATTAGGTGTGGATAGAACATAAATTTGGTTATTTATTAGGGAAATTTTGAAGTTTAGGTACCATTTTTGCGCCATCCCATCTTATTGAATCTTCAACTAATGGACGGACTGAAAATAAAACCTTAAATCTTCAACTTGGTTTTTTGTTTTCGAATTTCACATAAATATAGCATTGTAAATGGTTTCTATAATCTCAAATGTCTTAGGCACAACTAAAGTTTCGGACACGAGAAAGTTTTGAACATTCGAATTGACATTGTATTGATATTTTATATGGACATCTTAGACAAAAAAATAGTAAAACTCAAAAAAAGACTACATATTGGAGAGATTTTAGACCCAAAAATAAATTCTATTGACATCTATTTTTGTACATTCAATGTGGCCAACAGATTCTAAAGCCTCCCGTGTCCACATAAGCTTGATTCATGTATACTAGAAAAAACCGTTAGGCACATGTGGCTTCATCCAATGTTGATGGAGTTGATCGCGCGCACTCCGACAGTTGACTCAATTGAAATCAAAAGTATTTGAATGTGGGGGGTACTTTAGACACGAGCTTCTAATATAAAAGAGGGGTTGGCTTTGGGGAGAATTTGTAATGGTAAAGAGAACGAAGTTATAGCTTGGAAGTCTAAACTTACATTATCTTTCAAATGACACATTGTGCAAGTTTTTATAGTAGAATATGAAGGATATTGACCGTAGGATGAAAGTATACGTGGTCTCATTCATGCGACTGAAGCCTCTTGTCGAATGTATCAATCAATCATAAGTATTTAATACTAATAATATTTTGTTGCCCATAAACCTGACACAAGGCGTAGACTTGACCTGATTGATTGAATATGGTGGTGGTAACAGTGAATTATCATATCAATAATTTACGAAGGATTATATAGAAGATCTCTTGCTGAGCCCCTTGAAGCCTCACCTCGTCATGAGGGTTATAGTTCTCTATATGAGGTTGGTTCCAACAAATGTGTTCGACCTTCCATAGAGGTTCGGTCTTTTCACAGGGATTTGGCCAAACTATCTCTCGGGTAGAGTGACGTGGAGTGCGGGTCTAGGTTTACATGGGGCTTTTGAAGCTCCGTCAGATAGCGTAACAAATTATATCAATAAAATATTTAGATGCAAAAAAGTACCATGCAA